AGTCGGCTCACATAGCGGGTTGGATATCCATGTTAATAAAAAAAAAAAACAGTTTATTATAATGCATTTGTATAAGATACTGGTTGTTAACCACTTGGGCTGTGAACTTGAGATGCACTGATTAAGCCTCATGTGGATGTAGCGGAAAATCTCATCTACCCTGAGTTCAAATCCATGTTCTGCCAAAGCCTTTGTAGACATGGAGGTTCACCTACAATGCCTCCAGACCATTTGAGGTCGACTGAAGGATTAGTCGATATACGTAAACTGACATGAAAACCCACGATTACAAAACGTTTACAGATCACAATTGATGTCATATACACCAAAATAGAGGATATACAAACCATTCCGTTCATAACTGACCAAGAGTTTTACAATTCTACAGATAAAAAAAATCATGTGAAATAGTACATGATGTACCGGTTCTCAAGGTTATCATAATTTTATGAATTTTTAAACGGACTCCAAAATATTTTAATTAACATTTAATTAAATTAAAAACACGAAATATAACATAAAGTTTGTGGTTGATTAATGGATGGTTGATAGAAGACGTAAGAGGTGATGGTTGTTCCTTGTAGTTGTAGACATGCTCATGAAATCTACATGACATTGGGATTATTTCATTTTTTTAAAATACTTGTAAATAAAATTAAAAAGATCTGAATTACAACTGAATTTGCAAAATACTGGTATTTTAGTTATCTGATTGTTTATTAAATTATGTATCAAGTTAAACATTATATGTTTTAATAAAAAAAAACTGCAAAAAATAGTACCGTCATACCTAGACATGGCCAAAAACCAGTCCCGGGCCGAAATAATAACAATCTAGACCAGTCCCGTCAAAAATAGTAAGGCCCAGTTAAGGGTACTTGTAACTAGAGATGGCCAAATCGGCCCGGCCTGGGACCGCCGGAGGACCGGGACCGGGACCGACAAAGGACCGGCCTGGGACCGGGACCGGTAATGACCGGTTATGGGACCGAAAATCGGAACCGGTTGAGGTTTTTGGTAGTTTCGTGGGACCGGGACCGGCCCGAAAATTCAAAAATAAGTCTCGCGGATACATATAATTCAGAAGAATATTTTATAAATAAATGTATTTTTATAAGAAAACGTAGTTTTAATTATATTAAAACGCATTTTTAAAGTGTATTTGAGTGACCCAATTGTAAATTTTATAATGTATTAAAAATATATATCATTAAAAAAATAAAAATAAAATCTTATTTTTTAATGCAAGGACCGGGACCGGCGGCCCATAACCGGTTATGAAGTACCTTGACCGGTCCTGTCATTTTCGCCCGAGACTGGGACTGGTTATGGCCGGTTATGAGAAGGTTAGGACCGATTGGGACCGGCCCGAGACCGGTTTTTGGCCGTCTCTACTTGTAACCGGTCCCAAACCAGTAATATATTAAAAAAATGTTTTATTATTATTATCATTATTTTTAATTAATTTTTAACAATATTTTAATGTTATTTTAATACATTTTAAAATATGTAATTGAGTCAGTCAAATACACTTAAAAATATGTTTTATTGTAGTTTTATAATTGATTTTCAATCAAATAAACTTAAAAAATATGTTTTATTGTACTTTTATAATTGGTTTTCATTCACTTAAAAAATACGTTTTATCATAAATTTGTAATTCATTTTCAATCAAATACACTTAGAATGTTAGAAATACATTTAAAAATATATTTTTTTTGAAAAAATTGGGCCAATCTCAGGCCGGGCCCATAATTGGTTTCAAACCGGTCTGGGCAGAGGCAAGGCCTTGTTCTTTGACGAAAACCATAACCGGTCAGTCCCGATCCTCCGCTGTCTCAGGATAGGCCATACCCATAACCGGTTCCAAACCAGTCCGACAGGAGCAGGGTCTTGTTTTTTGACGAAAACCATAACCGGTCGGTCCCGGTCCTCCGCTGTCTCGGGGCAAGCTGGGACCATTTGGCCATCTCTAACATACCCACCCTATAAACGGGCTGGTTTGACCACGGCTAAAGGGCCTAAAATTTCTACATTTGACAAGGAAAACTTAAATAAAACTATCAGTTATGTGAAATCATTAAAATTACGTAATTTTATTTCTAACATAAAATAAGACATAAAAGATACCGATATACATAGCGTAAGAAAAAAATGATTTCATAAAATATGGAGTACGGACATTTCCCTTCCATTGATTTATCAACTTTTGAAGCCCGGGTTTTTCAATAACAAAATATTTAACCACCTAATATTTAAATATCAAGATTCGAGACGTATTATATGACGTATGACATACAGTAGAAAAAAATACGGATTTGATCTTTGTGGTTTATACTTTATACCCACAGTGGTCAAATATAGTACCCCTGGTACGTATTTTCGCACCTATCGAGTCATTCCCTTTAACGAAATCAATAAAATTTCGTCAACCCAGTTAAATCTAAGGGCATTTCGGTCTTTTAATCTTTTTTTGTCTTTATCCTATTAAACAATTTTAAATAATTATTAATTAATACTATATAATAGATTAAAAACACACACACACACACATATATATATATATATATACATACATAGGGGCATGTTTTTTTTGTTAACCCAATAATTGGTGTTAACTTTGTGAACCAATCTTGCCATTGATTCTTAAAATTTATGGATGAGATCAATTGTGATATATTTGTATTAAAAATAAATGATATCAAAACAGGTGAACAAGGGTATTTTTGGGAGAGATGTCCAAATCGGTTACACATCGATAATTAATTCATTACATCGGTTACAAATCGGTAATTGCTCATTTCTTTTATAGTTCGTAGAATCATATGAACATTGATGAACACACAAAAACATACGCTCCATGCTTATGATTGAACATAACTGTTGATCTCCATCATACTACAAAGATTAACATAAGGTTCATCAAAATTGAAAACACCGTAACGTTGCATACAATTGCATGTTGTTTACACTTCAAATAGTGCTCGATTGATTACCAAGAAGTATGTTCAAAATGTGTTGTATTATGCCACCTTTTAAGATGTTGATGTGAATGTAACTTCATATTGGTGAACGCACCAAACTGTCTACCCATTGGAAGTAGTGAACATGCATGAAGTAGTCAGCGTCATATTGGCGAACACCCCAAATGTTATTATGTGCAAATGCATCGACGCTGTTAATATATGTGAAACCAAATAAGTGAACATATGCACTTACATTTTTAACGTCTGCCATGTTAGTGCACAATTTCCATGTCGCTAAATATTTATGTTCACACCTAATGAATAGCCATTCCCAAAAAATGTTAAAGATGAACAGACTGAAAGTCATAATAAGGTGTTCATTACGTCTGGAAGAATTAAAAGAATAACACTTCTTAGGGGATGTTTACCAAATACTTATCCGGTAAGTGCTTACTAGTAAAATTCAATACTATTACTTACTTACCGGGTAAGATTTTAGTCAACAAAAACGACATCGTATGCAACAATTTACCCGGTAAGCGCTAACCGTGGTAAGAGTCATCATCCTCACTTACTGGATAAGACTCTTGGTCATTGTCTTGTTCTTTCCGAGTAAGATTCTTGATCGTTACCATATTCATCCGGTAAGTTAATGTGACTTGGTAAACGCTTACCCGGATAAGCATTTGGTAAACGGCCCCTTACGTAATTTACTAAGCATATATGAACACCATTGACGTTTAACATGAATGAAATGAGACACAATCATATAAGATATTTTTCAAGCATGAAAAACAATACTCATAATTAATCGTTTGAAACCGTAACATTTTTGAATAATATACAAAAAGAAAAGCAATAAATATGTCATTAGTATTGAAACTCATGATCGTTCAAGAACATCATTTGCATATGTTGTATATACGACAAAAAAATCAATAAAAAATTATTTCAACAGTTACAAAAAATACATTAAAAAACATGAAACTTACGAAACGAATAACGTTGAATTGTTTGTTGGGATTCCGTTGTGTCTCCATTGGTAACATGTTTGGAGTGAACACTATCAACATTTAAGGAGGATTTGATTGACAGTTTCATTTGTGAAGGACATCCATCATAATATGTTAAAACATACATACAAATTTGAAAATAGCCAAATTTTAGGAACAATATAACTCCCATATTTTGTAAACATATTCTTACTAATTTATCCCGACTTATTAAATATGTAATAAACTATTAACCATGAACCAATATGGATTCCTATTGGACCATTTTGATTTGTATAATTAACACAAAAGGTAAGGTTAAGAAAAGATGACACCCCTTGTATATATTGTACATATATACACAAACACTCATACACATGATACTACACAATGACACCACCACCGTCTAGGGATGGCAAAAAAAAAAAAACCTAAACCGACGGTAAAAACCGAAAACCAAAACTTTCGGGCCGGGTTCGGGGACATTTTATCGGGGACGGGACGGGGATCGGGGACGAATTCGGGGATTTTAACGGGGACATGGGTGGGGAAGGTGATCACCGGCCCGGCCCGGCCCGATATGTATATATATATATATATATTTTAATTTATATACATATATATATATATATATATATATAATATCTTTAAAAAAAGTAACATTAAAATTTTTAAAAAAATTATCCACTTTACCTCAACAACCCAAATAAAGCTCAGGAAAAGTCTAGTTTATTTGTCAAAAACCATGATTTTAGTTGTATGACGTTCGAATTTTTGTTTAGTTTTATATTGTAATCTAATACATTGTTTGTAATTGGTTCAATTATGTTTGAGACATTTAAACTTAGATCTTTAAAAAAATTGTAATTTACTTTTAATTGTGAAAATTAACATATTGTAATTTTTTTATATCGGTTTCGGTTATAACCAACGATGAAAAAAAGAATTTTTACCAAAAACGGGTTCCCCAACGGGGATCGGGGAAACCGCGGGGACCCGATGGAAATCCCCGATAAGATATCCGACGGGGATTGGGACGGTTATGGGGACGGTTTTAGTTATCGGTTTCGCGGACGGGGATACCAATACCCGGCCCGAACCCGGCACGTTGCCATTCCTACCACCGTCTGCAACTTTTTCCGCCAACCACACCACCACCTGCAGGCTGCAGCTTTCTCCGGCTACCCCACCACCACCACCTGCAACTTCCTCCATCCACCCAACCCTTGCATGTGTTTTTTAAGTATATAATATTCATATACAATAAATAAAATAAATAAACTTACACACTCTCCTCATATTTGGTGAGGTTTGAACCCATAACATCCTACGATGTCAAAGACTCACATACCGCTAGGCCAAAGGCCATTTGGAACCCCTAGTCCCCTACCTGATGCTTCCTCCAGCCACCCTATCCCCTACCTACGACTTTCTCCGGCCACGCACAACCACCTGCAACTTCCTCCAGCCACCTCATCCCCGTATACGACTTACTTCGAGGAGAACCACGATCCATCCAAAGATGAGACCCACCACACCACCTTTTTTAAATACAAAATCGTGGAGCATCTTGGATCTGGTTCTCTTTCCGTGGTTTGTTGTTAATCGTCTTCAAGATAGAAAACCAGCAAACCGACGACCACCAAATCAGAGATTTGGTTCTCTAATTGTGGGCCTCGTCGAAATGGGTTCTCTTTCCTTAGTTTCAACGGACCTGTTCATCAAGACGATGAAGCGAGAATTTGGTTGGAGTTTCGTCAGAGTATAGCCTGAATGGATAATCGGAGTTCAAATAGCTTTTTCCGATATGCAGAAAGTTGTATAAGTTATACGAATCCTTTACTTTTGGATTTCGAATCAATTTTGTTAAATAAGGGGCCGTTTACTAAAACGTTTACTTGGTAAGTACTTACCGGATAAACTTCTTTAGCAGATGAACATGACAAGAACCAATAATCTTATAGAGTAAGAGCAATGAGAATGATAGAGAGTCTTACCCGGTAAGTGAAGATTACAACGCTTACCCGATAAATTATTGCATTCAATACGTTTTGATGTATTAAAACCTTACGCATCAAAATAAATTATAGTGTTGACTCCTATAGATAAGCACTTACCGTGTAAACATTTGGGTAAATAGCCCATAAGAGATATTTTCGTTTTTTTATTGATTTTTTGTCTTGTATCTAATCAAAAACCACATAGACCAAATTAAAAAAAAATCAATTTTGATTATGTAAAAGACAAAAAAATCAATGACGAAAATACCCATCATTTAATGGAAATTTTTTAGATGACAACGAGAAAAATGGACCAAATATGAACGTTTTTTACAAACCACGATGATTATTTTGTAATTTCGAAACCGAATGAATCAAAAATGTTATTTTCAACAAACCACATGGACCAAATTTATAGTTTACTTAAAAATAATGTTTTAAAAGTAAACTTGTTAAAATACAAATAAAATCAAATGATTTCCTTTTAAATTTTCTTGAAATATGATAATTATTTTAGGGATTGTTTCTTTACCTCTTAATAGTTCAATTAAAAAGCAGCTTCGGAATCATTAAGATGTGAATCTTGTTTGGCGAAAAAAAGTCTGCCTCTTAATGATTTCAAAACCTTCTAAATGGTTTTGTATCATGAACCTCCCTTAACTATTATGCGCCCTAATTTCATTGTAAATAATTAACAAAAAAATTATATTTCATTTTTCACTATATCATGAGAGCCTCTTAATCATTCTGATAACTTAAAGAGCTGTTTGGCAGTTGCTGAATGGTTTGGTACAGAATGATTAAGTGATCAAAATAATTAAAAGGCTGTCATGATATAGTGCAAAATAAAATATAAATATTTGGTAATTGTTTATAACAAATCTAGGGCGCTGAATGATTAAGGGAGACCCATGATACAAAATCTTTCAGAAGATTTTAGAACCATTAAGCGTCAATTTTTTTTTTTACCAAACAAGATTTGTCTCTTAACAATTCGTTGCAAGACATTCGAGCCGAACGGTCCGCGGTCCACCCAATATCGAATTGAACCGGGTCTTTGGATGCTTTTCATATTTTTCCCGCCTTTTTATATAAGTCGTCGGCCGTACGTTCTCCGGTTAATTATACCGTCGAAGTTCAACAAAAATGGAGCTTTCATGGGAGGAAGCTCTTGATGTAGACGACTCCGATCTCCGATCACTCACCCTTCTCCGCCCTTGCAAGCAGCAGCGCCGCCGTGATGAAACCAATCCTCCTACCACCACCGACCTTCCTCTTTCTCAAACCCTAGATTTCTCACATTCGCCATCTCAAACCGACAACTCTCTTCCGCGAAACTTCAATAGCGTGTGCCAGTATGAAGCACCACCTCCCTCTCGTGTAATTCCAGGCCCTGCTGGCATTGTTCAGGCTGCTAAGCTTCTTAAAACACGCGATAACGGGAGGTTTTTAGGCCAGGAGGAGCCCATGGCCACCCAGGGGTATATAAGGAGAGTGGTTGAAGATCCTGAAGAGGATGCTGATTTTAAGTGCAGTCCTTGGCTTTCTGCCATGGAATTTTTCGGTGGTGATGGTAATAACATCAATTGCTTGTATTTTTGTATTGACACAATTTCCAAATTCAGAAAATTTGATGCTTGTTGGTGCGTGTATGTTCTTTGAGCGAAGGTATGTTCAATTCTGTTCCGAGTGCACATCTGGGCGATATAAAGAGGTATCTGAAAAATGGAAAACTTGATCAGGTATCATGCTGAGTGTATTACTTTATTTACTTGAAAACAATTAGGTTTTGATAGTTACTTATGTGAAATTGACAGGGGGTCTAATGAACTAGGCCTACTGTTGAACCTATATATTCTTGATTGTATGTAGTGAAGCAAAATATTCCCAATTTCAGGCAGTTGACAGATTGATTGATGTTCTTCTGTAACCTGTTGCAATTTAGATTATATTAATTTTAGTACATTTGGTTTTCAACTTTATATTCAAATCCATTGACTGTTGCAAGATTATTGCTGCAAAATCTTCTAATTCTTTGGATTTAAGCTAACATCTGAACTGTTTCGATGAGAAAATTGTGCGAATGGAAATGCAAAGATGCATAAAAATCACTAAGAAATACATGAGGCATGGTTAAATGGATCCAAAGGCATCTTTTATAACATGATTGCTTTAACGTGTTCCTGTAAAACCAACTTGTTTTTGCTAGTAAAGTAATCTGACGTCCTTAAGACAATATATTAACAACTTGGATGGAAAAGATACTTGGGTTATCTTCAGGGTCGTTCCAATCTTTTTGAAGGATATGCTACACTTGTACTAAAAGAAAATACAAAAGTACACACCATATATTATATATGCAGTTTTATAAATTAAACGACAAAAATATTATAAAATGACAAACTAACATATAAAATTCACCTAAATAGAATCATTCTGCTACATTGTTCGAAACAAACTTTTCAATTAGTTCTTCACAATCAACTTTCTCAATAACTTGTTAAATTGAAAGATTAGCATATAGGAGTTTACCAATTGTTGTTTACCTCAAGTTCCCAAGAAACCCTAGCTTGATTCTAGGGCCAAATTCTCCCTCAACTCTAGACTCTTTTGCTTGTTATCAAAGGGTTGTAGTGCCATGAACAATGATGATCATGATGAACGAAGTCAACACAAATGCAGGTGAGTTTGATTGTCAAACAAGAAAGAGAGAAATAGAGAGCAAGAAAGAGGAAGGTCATTAAGCAGGTCTGCTTGATGCTTCAATCATAAAATTAATCATTGGGAAACCAAAGATTTAAGAGAATAACCGACTAGGAGAGTTCAATATTCAAATTAGAGACATAAGGAGAAGGGATTGCAGATTTGCAGCTGTAATTAGGAATCGACAATTCAGAAAATCTGGTAGAAGAGGGAAAGGATTGGGGCACTGGGCTAAATTTCTAAAACATTATAATTGTCCAAATGGGCTAAAATAAAATGGAGAAGGACAGAAGGATTGAACTAAAATAAAAATTTGTTCAAGGCCATGTTATTAAAAGCTTGTGCTAAGAATGGGTTTCCCAATTTCCAGGAATTTAGTCGCTTCAACAGCCTTCGATGGTTATACGGGGGAGCTCGTATGAGAGTTGGTTTGACTGCCCTAACTATGGTGGAATATTTCCCAATTGCATGTGATGCCATAATTTTCGATTTTGAAATCAAATTATATATATCGTTGGGCCCCCAAAAAGTTTGGGATCCTGTTTGGAATCTCACATTGATACACCCTTTGGCACGGCCCTGGTTATCTTGGGTGAGGCACCTTACATGATACTAAAAGAGCTTTCTCTTTGATTATGTGTGATAATCAACCTTAGATGAGATGCCCTAAGTTTTCTTATGTACAATGCTCAAGAAGGTGGGGAAACATAGAATCCCTAGTTCCTTTTCTTGTTTCAGTCATGTATCACAACTACTAAAGAATATTTGGGTATCTAGTATCAACCATCATGTACATGGATTCATCTCAACATAAATTTCAAGTAGTTCCATCTCTTCTCTAGGCAAAGCTAGCAGTTAAACTTATATAAATTAATTAAATCCAAACATTTGACCTGATCAATATTTCTAGCCCTCTTTTTTATTGCATCACTAGTTTGTCACCAACTAGGAAACTCTGAAAACTTGAATGTTCTTGTCCCACCTAACTAGTTTATATGTGGTTGCATGGAGAAATAATTAAATGAGAAAGATAACTGAAGCAGAGTATTGCATGTTTGAGCTCTAAAACAATTAAATGTTCATATGCCCTATATCGACAAATTCCTAGACCCTAGTGTTGTGATGAATATCTGCTGTAGTAAACAATATTGTGTCACCGTAATCATAGTTGATGTGAGACTAATGTAGCATATGGCACATTAGTAACTTGCAACATTCTTAAGATCAGCAAAAGAAGATTTATTATTTAGTACGTCATGGATTTAGGAAATTAGAGAATTATATGAAGGGAGACTTTAGAGGTAGCCAAAGCTGCATTTTTTTTGAACATGAATCTCAGCATCAAGCAGACCTTATAAATTTAGACTACAAGAGGTCTTTGTCATAAACTCATACAAGTAAAGAGTTCTCTTCATTGATAGAAAGTAAACAGATGAATGGGATCAAACTGATAAAACTGAAAATGCTTGGTGGTAAACAGTCATTAAAATTGATGATGAAGAGAATTATTGCTCAGAGACTTGAATAAAATGTAGTGTAATGTGGTTTGTGTAATTTTGTCTGATTATAGATTATGTTTGGTATGTAATAGGTTGTTGCAGTTGTCAAGTCTTGTGCTCCAAATGCACTAGGTGATCTGATGGTAGTGCTGAAAGTAAGTATCTCAATATGCTACATAGTGATTATCAGCAGATCATGTTAATATCTAATTACTTATTAGTTTGGTTTAAGCTTTAGGATCCTACAGGTACAGTTTCTGGTACTATTCATCACAAAGTCCTTACCGAGGGTGAGTTTGGAAAGGGTAGTTTTGTAGGATCTGTTCTGGTACTCCACAAGGTACGATATTTATATTCAACTATAACTTGATATTTGTACAATAAATTCTAGTCCCCACTGAGTTGGCATTGGCAGCCAATTTGTTGAATTATTTTAAATTTACACCAGTTTTCTGTTATTTAGGTTTCCGTGTTTTCCCCTTCACGATCAGCAAATTATCTTAACATTACAAAGAGGAATTTGGTAAAGGTATGCATTTTCTTTGTGGCAATTTAAATTGTGTGCCTTCATTCATCCATGGTGGTAAATTTACTGTAGTGACAACATGAATGTATGATATGATTTTCTTTTGTCTTCAGTTCCTGTTTGAATGTCAGGTTATTGACTATCCTGATTACTTTATGCTTTAGTTCCTGATATGATTGTCTCTGTAGCATAAGGATTACTTGCTGTATGATTAGGATGTTTATAAATTAGAAGAATCTTATGTAACTTCAGCTGATCTTCTGCTGCTTATCATTCTGCACATACATCATCTCTTCATATAACCTATAATAGAATAGGCAAGGAATTGAGGTTAGAAAAGCCTTGGTTTGAGAAAACACCAAGTTGTGAGGAAGGCTTTGGAACAGGATCAATTAAATTGCAGGAAGTTAAACAAAACATAATTTGGATGCGGTTAAAGAACCCTGAATATGTCTAGTAGATTAGATGGCCCACGACGCCAAACTGATAAACATATTTAATTTTTTGACACTCTTGTTCATGAATAGATGTTACTTGAAGGCTTATCCTCTTGATCCTCTGACTCCATTTGAAATTTGGATAAATTTAGAAAACTGCTCCAAATGCAATTCTTTTTCAGAAAATGTTGTTATGTAGAAAAGTTTTTGAAATAGAGTGGCAACAAAGCGTGGTCTCAATGTTATTCCTGGACCGCATCTGGGAGATACGTGTCAAGGCATGTTTATGTCCTTATGGTTAAAATGACCATGAAGATTTTGCCAATTCTGCACTTTGGATGAAATCATTTTGCCAATGAATCCTCAACCAATCGATCGTTCATCCTTTGAACAACCAAATGACTCGGATTTAGGGCACTTTGCTTTTAAGGGTGTTAAGCATACCAAAAGGACAAGCCGCTAGAACCTCACAAAATTCACATCCATTCGCATGACCAAATCTAGGGACTTCATGAATCTGTTCTTATGATTGCATTCACTGTAAAGGTTTTCCAATCCTACACCTGCTGTTCAAAATCAGTTCGCCAGTGGACCCTCTTTGCCAACCATTCGTTTATCCACATATTTTTTAATTCATTAGGAGCTGTCTCTCTTGGGATATCAAATGTATTAGTCATTCTTAGAAGGGTACTAATGGTATGCTCTGTTGGGTTGGGTTGTTCAAATGCCTTCAACCCGATCAACCCAACCCATGAACAGCCCCAAGTCGAAGCAGCCTCCTCAGGACTTGGAGGATCTAGAATCCCTACAACAACAATGAAGGTGTAGTTGCATGTCCAGCGATGCCTTATCCAAATCAGATCACTATCTCATGAGACCATAAGGTTTGTAATACTCATGATCCTGTGCCCCTATGGTCATCTACTGCACCTGCTGCTTGGCCGTGAGACCATAGAGTCGTTTGACTCTGGCTTCTCTGTTTGCATGCTACTATTATCTTTTATCACTGATTATGTTCCCCCATGTTAATCTGTTCTGCTTCCCGAGTCACTAGTACCCTTTCTTCAACAACTTGATCTGTAAGGTTCTACTCAGTTTCTTTGCTTTGTTGATTGATACTTGCTCATCCAACTTGTACATTGGTAGGGTATATTTGTTGCTTTACTAGTTTTTTGTTGTTCCTTTTTCTTTTGAGAAATAACGAATCATAGGTGATAATTATGATAAACCTGAGGATGAGAAGGGTGTTTGGTAGTTAATATGAACTTTTCCACACTTTTCAAAATCCTAAGCAATTGAATGATTCTAATTGGGCTCGATGTAGCATGTTTTTTTGCCAAAACTAGATTTGAGAGTGTTAAGAAAGAAACTTATCTGACCAAATAATGCCTGACTCAATTACTAGTGAATGGAAAACTTTATGATAATGCAATTTGTATGGTTTTGTGGAAAGCTGTTGAAACAGATACCAATCTATTTGCATTGAATTCACAGACAAGAAAGAAACTATGAAAACATCTACAACTTTCTTTCTCTGTTAAGCCCTCGGTGTCACATGCATTATTCAGTTGCGAATAGAGAGATTCTAACGTGGTAACATACTTCACCAAGCTTAAGAGGCTCTACGATATGTTGAATGACTTTTCAAGTTTGAAAACATTGGCTAACTTGCTTCGAAATTTTAACTTCTTTATATTGCCACACATTTCGGTCCAGGTTCTACAAAAAGAAAATAAAGTGTGAAAATTTGTGCAACAAAACTAATATATCGAGTGAAACCAAACAATTTGATCATTGGTCGATGATGTTGCTAAGATTTGATGCACGTGAACCTTCCAGCTATTTATAAAACCAATATTAACATGGATAAGGCCATGAGGTTGATATTAAGTATTGATTTGAGTTAAATCAATATAGGGAAGTCATGTAGATCTTCATCTTCTTGTTCACATTCAGCAAGTGTTTGGCCCCAAAGACGGAAGGCACTTGCTGGTCATTGCTAGGTATGCAAACCCTAAACATCTGGTAACAGAAACCAAAACCAAAACCAAAACCAAGACCAAGACCAAGACCAGACCAGACCAGACCAGACCAGAGGGTCCTATATATCCCATCGAGAGGTGCGGTTTAGGGGGTGTGATGTCTACCAGTTTTTTCAGTAACCTGAACCAGTTTCTATAAACAAGCAAAGTTTTGAAATCAAATCCTACTAACAAAATTGTGGACTTTACTGCTTACTCAACCCTTACTGTGATGACTCATTTTATTTGAATTTACAGGTTTTCTACAAGGATGGTGGACCTTCACAAACATCCCATGGATGTAGAACCATAGATGCTGCTCCTAGTTCTGGTGGGTTTATAATATTCTTTCCTGAAACATGTTTACAATTTGAGATGGTATTTTGCAGCGTTTTCCTTATGTCATTTTATTAGAATTTTTCTAGAATATTGAATGACAACTTTACGCACCCTTCGTTACAAGATTCTGTGCGGAGGACGACGATGTTGCATGGTGCATTTTCTCAAGAACCACGAGCAGAAGGAATCGCGAATGGAACCAAAACTAATGCTAAAAGTAAACCGAGTTTGCATATTGGTGATGATCAAGAAAACACAAATCCGATTGTGTCAACTGGGCACCATATGATTGCAACAGATAACGAAATCTTGAAAGAAACAGATGTTATCGGAAGTGGTGAAAACGAGCATAGGGCCTTTGACAATTGTAAACAACCAACCGAAGGTGGTGGTCATAAATGTGGTTCTAACTTTGTTAATGATGGAAACAAAAATGGAGTCAAGGGAAGAGATGCAGTTCGGGTTCATGTAGAACCAGCAAAAGCAAATGGTTCACTACCCGTTTGGACAGATGAGCAGTTAAACGAACTCTTTGACGTTGATTTTCAGGATGATATGTCGTTTTGACGGTTTGATGGTAGTTCAGTAACGACACTAGTGTTCATATATAGATTTTACACGCAACCGAGTTGCCTTAATGCCGTAATAGAAAGGTTATAATGTCGAAATGGTGCATAATTGTTGTTGGTATGGTAGTTTTTGTTTTGTCACGGTTTACATCATGAAGTGTAAATCTGAAATGTCTATCAACTTTAAACATTGGTTGGCATATGTTGAAAGCCAACCCAAGAGAAATGAAAAGTATAAAATAAAATATTAAAATCAAGATATATCTCGCTCCATTGTACGGGTACCTTTATAGTATTTTACAAAGACACGTCAGATTTCATCAATCTCACTTCATTATAGGCAAATGAGTCTTTTAACGAATGAAAAGTTTTTTTTAAACCATAACATGAAGGATATGAAAATTGGTTTTGTATCAATTATTAGTATTTCTTAAAATCGATTTATTCCGATGATAAAAAAATACATGGAAGCTATTTTCGTTATCTTTTTCATATATTTACAGGGCTTATAAAACGTCAGGAAAAAATCCTGAACTTTCACTTTTGACCCTTCATTTTTAGTACTTCTTTCAATTTTGATCCAACTTCTATTTTTCGTTTTTTAATTTTTAATTTACTCTGATGCAACATTATAAGTAAAATATTTTTATGCCAACCACTACAACAGAATTGAGTTTGTAGAACACTCTTAATTTTTAATCCTCTTTATAGAACTTAATTTATAGGATCAAAAAAATAAAATGTCCTATCTAAAGGCATTGTAATAAATTTATATGACGTTTTTTGATGTCGTAATAAGTTTTTTAAAACACTTTTAATATAAAATATCCCATTAACAACTTTATAGAACACTATTTGAAAAAATGTTCTATAAAAATAAGTGTCTTAAAAAACTGAGTTTATAGGACATTTTCTCAAAAGTGCCCTATAAAGTTGCTAATGCAACACTTTGTATTAAAAATGTCCTAGAAAACTTGTTAAGACGCCCAAAAGCGTCATATAAACTTATTACATCCCCTTAAGATAGAACGCTTTATATTTTGGTCATATAAATTAAGTGCTATAAAGTGGTCTATTGGGACGCTTAGAGATTGATGGTGCCCTATAAACTCAATTTTGTTGTAGTTAACACTCCCACTAATACGCGTTCCTATGCTGTTTGGTGTTACAACTAATTTTACTACTAAAAAAAATGGTCGATGTGGTTTGTCATAAATAACAATTTTCGTCCCTGTAATTTCGAAATCATAAGATGGTCATCAAGGTTTGTAAAAGTGTTCGCATTTAGAGTCCTTCCCTCTAACGGCTGTCTAAAAATTTCCGTTAAATGAGAGGCATTCTCATTTTTTAATCGATATTTTTGTCTTTTTGTACAATCCAAATCGATTTTATGATTTTGGTCATTGTGATCTTTAATTGAGCAAAAGAGAATAAATAGATATAAAGACAAAAATACCCCATCATTTAATGGAATTTTCGATGCCACTCGAAGAAAGTGTTATATTTGACAATCATGATTACAATCTTGTAGTTTTGAAATACGAGGGACGAAAAGTGTTATATTTGACAAACCACATGGACCAAGTTTGTAGTTTACTCTACATCTTATAACCGAACAAATGAATATAAACGAACATGTAAAAACTAATGAACACTTACAGGCATAATTGAATGACGTACCTAGACCTTTGTGCATGTTTGTTTGTTTAAATAAATGAACCAAAAAAACTTGTTCCTGTTCATTCAGTTATGAAATAAAAGATGTAATTCTTACTGAACGGTTCACCAAATGTTGGGTTCGTTCACAACTCCAGATCTATGTATGAGATTGGCAGTTGGTTTCCTAAATCTTTCTAATCTGAAACTTAGTATGTTGCGAACATTCAAATAACAAATATAACTTGTCCCAAGTTTAGTGATTAGAGAATACTAGAAGGGTACTCGCGTAATACAGTGAGATATATCTTGATTTTAATGTTTTGTTTTATTATCTGTCTCCATCGATATTATAATATGGTTTTATGTGGTTTTGAGAAAACGATAATGTTTTTATTTTTTAAATAAAATATACATTTTAAGATATCATAAAAATTTGAAAAAAATATATTGAAATTAATATCAAATTAACTATTTAAAAGTTCTCGTTTTTTTGTGTAATTTCTTTTTATTATAATTTAATTTAAGGTTAATAACGAARTAATTTATTTTTKATTGTTAAATATATTTTATAAAGATAATAATTAAGTATTHTGTTADAAMTCAATAATTATCCTTGTTATATTTTAAATTTTTTATATTTAAAATAAAATGTTTATTCTTTATTTGATAATGTTTATCTGCAGTTAGTTACAAAAATTCAAATATAAAGTTTTAATAAGTTGTACTTACGTATAATTCACTTGTAATTTTGAATTTTAAGTAATGTGTATCAATAAACAGTACTTCATGTATAAAATATGATTTTTAAGAGTTTTTTTATCTATATCGATATAATATGGTTTCATTTGATTTTCAGAAAACGATAATGTTTTTATTTTTGAATAAAATATAAATTATAAATATCATAAAATTTTAAAAAAATATATAATATTAGTATCAAATTAACTATTTTAATTCAATTTCTATATTATAATTTAATTTTACGTAACAAAATAATCTAATTTAGGTTTAATAATTTAATTTTTTTATAAAGATAATAATCAAGTATTCTGTCAGAACTCAATTTTTATCCTAATTCTATTTTAGATATTTTATATTTAAAAATGAGATGTTTATCCTGCATTTGATTATGTTTATCTGTAGTTAGTTACACTAATTAAAACATGAAGCTTTAATAAGTTGTACTTATGCACAATTTACTTGTAATCTTGAATTTTAAGTAATATGCGTTAATAAATAATACTTTGTGCATAAAAATGATTTTTAAGAGTTTTTGTCAAATGCTTTATAATATAGTGTGTGCTTTATATATATAGACTTAGGATCATGTGAGACCAAAGGTTTTTCGTGAGACCCGTAAGACCAATTCTCAACCCTTGGATTAGATCTACAATATGAACATTCATAATCACAAAATTGCCACGAGACTTCTCAATAATCACAAAATTGCCATCATGCAACTTTAGACTATTAGATCATTAGCTTATAAAGTTGATCAATGAACATAAATTGGTCTTATAGGTCTCACGGAAAACTTTTGGTCTCACGTGAACCCAACCTTACACACATACACACACACACACACACACACACATATATATATATATATATATATATATATATATATATATATATATATAGTTGAAGATGAATCATTTCAATGTAAGACATTTGTAGGCCAAAAGAACAATTTAACCATCCAACATGTATAGAGATTGATAATATGCCAACATTGCTTTTAATGACCAATTAGAGTATGCATTTCATTTTGTGAATGATGAACTATGTGACAATGAAGTGAAGAATTCAACCAATCCAATGGTTCCAAATTGTTCGGTGCAATGCAAGGGGAAATGAAATCGCTTTTAAAAAATAAAACATGGAATTTGGTTCGTTTGTGGAACGGAAGTCAAGCTATTGGATGCAAATGGATTTTCAAGGTGAACAGAGTTCGAGCACCAACCCTTAAGACTGTAATTTGATTGCAAATTAAAGGCTTCTCACATTAGAAAAGGTATCGAGTATGATGATATTTCACATATGTTGTAAGGCATACACCTATTAGAGTTTCTACTTTCCATTGTTGCTACAAGACATGGAATTAGGACAATTAGATACAAAGACACATTCTTCTGTGAAGATTTGGAGGAAACTGTATCATGAACAACCAGAAGTTTTCATAGCCGATGGAAATCTGATTGGCTTGCAAGTTGAAGATATAAGCTGAATAAATGTACTTTTAGAAGATTTATTCAGCTAATATTCTTCTAAAAGTACATTTATTCAGCTAATAGAAGAAATCACTATATGACTCAAACAATCACCAAATCAATGGTACAAAAGGTTCGATGTTGAATATTGGATCTAATGGTAGTGTAAATGATCATTGTGTTTATTATTGCTATACACTAAACATGGATATAGTTCCTCTTGTATGTTGATCTCCTATAACGATCTTTCATAAATTAACAAGCTAAAACAACGTTTGAAGTCTGAGATTGAAACGAAAGACTTGGAAAAGACAATTAGACATCGTTCAAGACTTGATGTCTAGAGTTCTGAGGCTCACTAAAAAAGAACACATTAATAAGGTGTTGAGTTGGTTCAACTTACATGTGAAACTCTCAAAAGAAGCTATTGTCTGAAGAACGGAAAGACACCTCTGAGATGGCTAAGGATCCATACACGAGCGCAATTAGAGGATCCATATACTTGCTTGACTCATTTTGTTGGCATGATGAGTCGATATATGCCTAATCCTTGTAAACCACTTGGAATGTAGTTAAAGTGGTTTAAGATATCTGAAGGGTACATCGAATTGTGGCTCCTTGTTTGGCAACAACGATGGTGGCTCTAACTTGTTGGCTTGTATGCATGTTGAATTGTGGATTATACGAGAGACCTAATAGGGTACAAATCCTAGTTACTCCCACATAACTTTGTAGATCTATCTAGCACTCCATGGATTTGGATCTTAAGAACCCTTTTTGAAGACTCTAGCTAAAACAAAACTAGAACCAAGAATATTACGCATTAACTGTCTGTTGTCAGGTTGGACAGTAAGGGTCGGAGAAGGGCAATCATATAACCTTGTTTATTGACACATTATTGATCATGGAACAACAAGTATACGAGAGTTATAGCCAAGACTTGTCCAATTCGTTTAAAATACTTTCTTATAACAAACCTAAAGGTCATCGGTTCGTATTCTAGACCTTTGAATTGTTCATGAGGATGTCAATTGATATGGTTTCAAACAAGCATGGTGCTCAAAAGTTCATAATTCTATTCAACTTTAGGGTTGCTTAATGAGAATACGAACAAACGACATGATGCAGGCTAAATGTTGAAGTTCGATATGAACTATTTCGTGATTGTACAAATCTAATCAAATTAAGCCTTCTGAGACCATGATTGTAAGCTTCAAATCATTTGAAATACTTCAAGAATTCAAGTCGTACGTAGTGCGTATATATTATCACCACATGCATGCATGCATGCATGCAGATCCATTTGATATATTACGTAATGAACACGAAAATGAATTCTCTTGGGAATTTCAGAGTGTAAATGAATCAGAATTAGAAGAAAACAAACAAGAGCTGAACCCTTTATTCCCATTGGAAATAATCAAATGAACGAACATTAAGATATGGAGGTATTATTTAGAATCTAGAATTAAATCAAAACTGAAAATTTGAGATCTTGTAAGATCAAATATCTGGGTATTCTTTGAGGACACGTAATGTTGAAGATGAAGAAGATAACGAATTTCGATTCATAAACAGCGAATCTGGATTGTAAAACGGAAGCTGATGACTCGGTGTGCACAAAAACTCCGTTGGGTTTGCCGGAAAAACTGGTGTCGGATTAAAATAAGGATCAAAAACCGCCGACCTGTATGGCGGTGGCGCAACCGCAACCCCAACACCACCGTCAACAAAACAAGAATTTACCTGAGGGATATCATTCACACTGCTACCATGCTCCTCCGTAACGACGGAGGTGGACTCATTATCCTCCGTATTCCCTTGACCACCTCTTCCAAGGTGGTGGTGCCGCCGATCTTGGGTGGGTTGTGTCTCCTCCGGCGGTGGTGTGTATCCGGTGAGTTTCTGGACCAACGCCATGAAATCTCGTGGGTGTGTATGGATGACCTTTGGTGAATGTGTGTAGATGATGACAGGTCGTCTGGGTGGTTGTTTATCGGAGATCGTTGTTGTGGTGGTGGATGAAGCGGCGGTGGTGGAAGGCGGCATACGGGAGATGAAATTGGTGTCTTTATTGATCTTGAGTGGTGGTGTTTGATCGTAACCGACGTCATGTTGTTCCTGTTTTGCATGGAATTGTGTTGCAGGTCCCATGGATGACTTCTGGAGATCGAAGATGACAAAAAAATGGAAGCTTTGAAATCTGAAGAAGATGAAGATATGGATGGAGAAGGGTGGAGCGAGTGTTAGTTCGGATTTTTCCTTTTTGTGAGGTAGGGTTGTTAAAGGGAACCAATGAATTGAAAGGTATTTAAATAGGATTAATTATTATTATTATTATTATTATTATTATTATTATTATTTAATTTATGATATCTTAAAATAATTTCTTTTACAAATATATCAAGTTATTAAAATTTGAATATACAAAATTTAGATCAACACGAATTTGTTTTTATGAAACCCGTAAGACTATAAAAATAATACTGAATATTTATGATAAAACAATGTGAAGGATAAAAAAAAACTAAAGTATGTGTTACACTGGGGCAAGTAATTAGGAAATATGTAAACGATATCTATTAGATGTGCTACAATAAATTGGTTTTTGGTTATATGATAATAAATTGGTTTTTGGTTATATTTAATAGATATAATTAATAATTTAATTAATTAATATTGAATAAAGCATAATAAGACCCACTAAAAATGAATAAGGCCCATTAAGTCTCACAAAAAATGAATAAGGTTTATTAAGGTCCAATAAAATGGATTGGAACCCAATAAAATTGAATAAAGCCCAATAAGATTCATCAAGCCTAGTAAAACTAAATAAAGCTAATAAAATGGATTAAGACCCAATAAAAATGAATAAAACCCAATAAAATTGAATAAAACCCAGTAAATGGATTGAGACTCAATGGTGGGAAATATATAATCTTAAATGAACATGACTTGTAGACTATCCATGGATATGTCTTTGTTCAACTGTGTAAAAGTTCAACCTTTCCAGTCCACCTTTGATGAAAAAATTCGACAAACTGAACCGAATATTAATGATGTTGAACTTGATAGAATACGGGAGGAGAAGTTTCTGACTGATTCTTGCACCATGTGAGTGTATATATACTGACCACTAGTATTAATATACATAATGCAATGACATACGTTATGTGTTGTTTACGTGTGACCTTTTTTTTTATAGGTCATGTTCGAGTTAAACGACTCAAATGAACTATTGAAATCCCTAGCATGCGGACCAGACCGTTATGCCACCACATATCAGGGATACTTTGTGAATCCGGTTGAGTTACCCATAATAGTGGTATATGTGTTAGGGGCCCTACTATGACGAGTGTGAGCCTGACTTCTATGGAATGTTAGATGATGTTATAGAGCCAGAGTATTATGGTTTAGTGCGACAAGTAGTTGTCATGTTCAAATGCACTTGTTTGATACTGCCTCGGGGATTAGAGTTGACCCTAAACACAATTTGGTAGATATCAAATATCTTTTTCCATGATAGAATTTAATGTTTATTTTTCAGGAGATGTCATGTTGAAAGCGCGGTAGAGCCCGTCATGGTAGTAGAGGTAGCCCCATGTCTGGTAGGGGCAGCAACTCTATTGGCGGGCGTGACGACCCGTGCGCCGATGATATTGGGGAATTCACGGAGACTGGCCTCCAGGATAGGGATGAACAAGAGGTGGAAGCCCCATCTTCGACTGGTTCAGGGTCGGGGAGAGGCCCCAACCATGAGATGCCGAAGCCCAATAATTTGAGCCAACGACCATATTTTTCTTTGTTATGCAACATGTAAGTAGATGTGATATAAAACTTTATATTACATAACTATCTTTTATGTTGTATATATATATTTTTAATTGTGCAGGTTTAAAGATGCTCATATTAGTCGGAAGATGACAGCTATATTCAGGTCTTTCTTTGCTGGTTAGTGGCATAGATGGAAGGAAGTCCCTTAGGAAGCCTACGACTTGATGTTCCAACGATTTCGGGTTGGTGTACCATTTTAATGTAATTATACATTAAAGGTTATTGTTTTTACATTGATACAAATATTGTGTATGTAGGCTAAGTTCCAGTAAAAGCCGGAGCTGGATAACATGGTTCGTGATTTATGGATCGAAGTCATGCACAATAGGTTCTCAGATTGGATGAGTGCTGCATGTGACTAGGCCGTGACACAGGCCTATCTTGGCGCTTAACAATGGGATGGTAAAGATTTCTCACAGATTTGATTACACTGTCCTATATGGATCTCAGAGAGGTTTTCGATTCAGATGATTGACCAGGTATGTATTTCTATTGTGAGCTTTATGAAATGCCATGTGTTTTGTATCGCCTTATATATGTGTTATGTTTTTTTAACAGACTTGGGATACCGAGCCTTGGAAAAGGAAATTAAGGATCAATCTGGCCAATCGGAACACACAGTTTGAGGGGGTGTCGTCCAGGCATACTAGGGGATCGATCAATATTGTACAACATCGAGAAAGGATGGTAAGTATATAATCTTTTTTGAATATGTAATTCATCCTCTATGTTTACTAACAACTTAACCTAATTGTCTAATGTAGGCACATGTACTGGGTCATGAGCCAACTGCTACTGAGGTGTTTGAACGCACTCACTGTATGAACCAGAAGTTCGATCAAGGTTCGTCCGACCCACCTACCTATCCTCAGTTCTGTTACCCCAAAGCTGCTAGGTATCATTTAAGTTTTTTAAAACCATTACTTCAGTTTAATGATACGTTTAGTAGGTTTAAGGTAATATATTTTGCTAAATATAATGATGCTATTAGTTTGGGCTGCCATTGTTGGGTACGTTAGATTAAGTAGATATGTTGAGAATGTGAATACCATCGGCATTTAGAATGCTTTAATTGTTAGAGCCATACATTGAATATGTTTGACTTACAGTCATTATGTTACTGAAATTTCTACATATATAACCTCACTCGTTTTTGTTTTGATGAACCATATGAGCGATTTCAATCACTTAGGGGTAAGTCACAGTCTAGTACCGACACCCCTCCCCTGATGATGCATCTCTATGGGAGCAGAGTATCGGAGGACAGAGGAAGGGCCACATCTTTGGTTTCAGGACCTCCTAGGGTCCCTCTTATGCTATAACGGGTAGATGGCAGTAGCACCTGGAGATCGTACGAGTCAACAACGAAGGTATATTAGTTATATTGTTATATACTTTCTCATTACTTTCATTGCGAACAAATTATTGATTTTGTCGAATATTGAATATTTAAATATTGCAGAGTTGAGAAAAAAGTTGGCAAGGGTAGAGGAGAAATTGGAGACCGAACGAAAGAGTAGGGCAAATTTGGAGGCCGAACAAGCTAGACACGCTACTGTGTTACCCAAACAGGTCGCCTTATCGGAACATTTTTCTATGTTTCAGCGCCATTTAAGATACGTTTTCCCCCTCCCCCTCCTGGTAGTTAGATTGTATGAATTTGAACATTAAATTGTATGAATTGGATATTTTATATTATATGAATTGAATATTTTAAATTGTATGAATTTGTTAGTTTTAATTTGTTCATAGTTTTGGTTTGTTATTTTATGGCCAGGTTTTGTATAATAAATAAATACAAAAATTATGTAATTATAACTTATTTGTTTTTAAATTAATAAAAATTAGCGACGGATTAACGAGGGAAAATCCATCGCTAAAAGTCTCTCGCAAATCCGTGGTTGAAAGATTCACTCGCTGACTCGTCGCTGAAAGTTTCCCTCGATGATCCATCGTTGAAAGTTTCCCTCACTGATCCGTCGCTGAATTCCGTCGCTGATAGCATTACCTACGGGCTTTTAACCGATGGACGATCAACGACGAAAGACCTTTAACGACGGATCAGCGAGAGAATTCTCCCTCATTAATACTCTTCATTTTTGTAGTGATATATTATAAATTTTGAACTAAATTATAGCACCTTTTTTTAAAATATGACATCCATTCAATTTTTTATAGTGTTTTCAATGTTTTTACCAATAACCTTAAAAGAGGAAAACCAAAACTTTCATCCATTCATGTGGTTTGTTATAAATTTTGGAGTTTATCCTTGTGGTTTTAAAATTGCGATTTTAGTTCTTATATTTTGTAATTCATTTCTATTTTCGTTCCTAAGATTAAATACTACTTTTAAGTATGAAAAACTAAAATAAAAATGAATCGTAAATTACAGAGACGAAAAAATCAATAAAGTTTTAATCATGAGGACGAAAATGAAAATGAAAATGAATTATAAAGGATGAAAACTATAATTTCAAAACCACAAGGACGAAAATAGAAATTTTCAACAAACCCCATGGACCAAAAACGTAATTTACTCTAGAGAAAATTAAGATTTTGGGCAAATTTTTGTTCTTACAAATTCCCCATAACTTTTTTTGAAATGAAGAAAGCATGAGAGAGAGTATGAAATTCTCCAAATCTGAAAAACTCCTCAAAAATGATTTCTATGAGAGAGAAACAATTTTTTTTATTATATTATGAGTAATAAGAAACCCTGATATTAAATGTTTATGAGAGAGCAATAATATTTCATTATATGCACGTATGATATTTTAATGATATAATTAATATTATAATATCTGAAACAGAGAATATTAATATCAAAATTACAGTGATTAGACAAATATTACTTAAAATATCAAGTATGTGCATAGAATAATATAACTTATCAAGTGCTCACCAATCAAAAATAGAAGCATCGAATTTTCTGAAGAACCATGCCAAAGAAGTATTCTTCCCATGACTCACTTCATGCACGGTTCTGCAGAGGAACCACAAACCAATTAAATGATGAGCACAATGACAATTACTCCTAAAAGATGTGCACGAAAGGGTGATTTATCTGACACTGTTCCTTCAATTAGACGAGTGAATGTGAGAATATGCTGCTGACAAAACATATGGCTAAGCAAAGTCAAGACAACGAAGGAGTCGATGAAATTAAAACACATGATACGAGACATACATTAATTTAAAGAAATCACATGAAATTTGGAGATATCAACCTATCATCTATCTAAGGATCATCTCTTTTTTCAGATTATGAAATTTGTTTATCATAATATTTCAACATAAGCAGTTTGAATAGAAACTTGATG